CACTGCAGTGAATTATCGAACCCAGGAGAGAGGTGGTGGGTGCTTTGGGAGGAACGGTTGGTGAAAGGGCTGGAGGGAGGCAGCATGTCTGGTCTAGCAGGAATAGGCCTTGGGTTACTGCTGGTAATCCTGCCTTCCCCTTGTAGGGTTAGAGGAGGTTAGAACATGTGGCCTCCTTGTCATTTTTGCACATACCAAGTACCAGGAGATGTAGTGGTTCTCAAGCAATGAAACCACATCAGGAACAGCAGCTGCAATTGGAGTCACCACCTGATTAAGTTTACAATAATCCACTGTATTTCTCCAAGATCCATCTGTTTTTTGCACAGGCCAAATAGGTGAGTTAAACAGGGAAGTGGTGGGAATTGGAATCACCGCTTCTGCATCCTTCAAGTCCTTGATGGTGGCAGTAATTTCTGCAATCCCTCCAGGGATGTGGTATTGCTTATGGTTTACTATTTTTCTACATAGAGGCAGTTCTAATGGCTTCCACTTGGCTTTTCCTACCATAATAGACCTTACTCCACATGCCAGGGACCCAGTGTAGGAGTTCTGCCAATTACTGAGTATATCTATTCCAAATATGCATTCCAGAACTGGGGAAATCATTACAGGATATTTTTGGGGGCCTACTGTGAGACATATCTAAGACTCCATCAATAACTTGACCTTCATATGCTCCCACTCTGACTGGTGGGCCAGTGATGCTTTGCGTTTCCTGGAATTAGTGTCAGTTCAGAGCCAGTATCCAGTAATCCCTGAAAAGTCTGATTATTTCCTTTTCCCCAATGAATAGTCACTTTTGTAAAAAGGACTCAGATCCCTTTGGGGAAGGCTGGGAGAAAGATTGACAGCATAAATTTTTAGCAATGTAGTGGGGTCCTTCCTCAACCTGGCCTCCCCTTCATTCAAAGGGTTGTGGGTCTGTGACTGACTCAAGTCTGGGAATTGATTGAGGGGCTGTGACTCTGTATTCTGGCAATTCAATCTAGACTGCTGTTCACGTGACCTACAATTATTTTGTGTATATATACATATGGGAGCTCTGGTAGCATAGTGGCTAAGACACTTGCCTGCTAACCAGACGGCTGGCGGTTCAAACCCACCAGCCACTCCTCGGAAGGAAGGTTGGGCAATCCTACTTCCGTAGTCATACTGCCTCGGAAACCCAAGGAGGGGTCGCTATGAGTCGGGCTTGACTCGACGGTACATAACAACAACATATATTCATATATGATTTATGAGTAATTTTATATGTTATTCTGAAACTTGTATTGTCTGGGTCAAGTCTCTTCAGCTTCTTCCCTATAATTTAAACCCATCACACTTTTAAATCAATCTCAAAGTCTGAAAGACTGGTGTAACAGCTTGATATCTGAAGCACACATACAAAAACATTTAATAAAGGATATACTGAATATAATTCTATTTTCAGTGACTCAAATCTACTTGTTCTAAAGAACTAAAGAGAAAACTACAAGAAAACATTAAAAGAAACTAGAATGGAGCCAGGAATGCAGCAACACTCAACTCAATAAACCCTTGCTATTTCCTAAGGAGCTCTGGTGGTGCAGTGTTTTACAGTGATTTACAGCCTTGGAAACCCTATGGGGTAGTTCTACTCTTTCCACTATGAGTTACAATTAACTTGATGTCAATAATTTTTTGGGGGAGGGTTTTCATTTTCTCTGCTTACTCAAAATTTAAAATAGCAAGGATGATATGGGTGTTGAGTAACCAAATTTTTTGGTCCACAGAACATTTCTATTAACATTTTTTAAATGTCAAGAGCTGACAAGAGTAAGGCATTGGAATGGTATAATATTAATGACGAAGCTCTGGTGGTAGAGTGGTTAAAGCATTTGGCTGCTAACCAAAAGGCTGTCAGTTTGAACTCACCAGCCGCTCCACAGGAGAAAGATAAGGTAGTCTGCTCCCATAAATATTTACTGCCTTAGAAATCCTATGGGGCAGTTCTACTCTGTCCTGTAGGGTCGCTATGAGTTGGAATGGACTTATGGCAGTGGACTATTAATGATTCTTCATCAGGTGCTAGGAATATTACTGCTATAACAATAATTTGAATTCATCTGAATCGTTGTGCTTTCACAGATTTTATATGATTCATAGCTCATCAAAATTCCCTTCATCTCCAACCAAAAGTAATGTCACATATAGTCGTTCCATCTCTGGACAATAATTTGTTATTAATACAGTTACACAGAAGGTGTCATTCCAGTGATAGAGGAGATTACAGCAAGAATTTGCCTCTATTTGGACCAATAATCTAACATAGCAGAGCTCTCAAAGACTGGGATTCACAGTCTTCACATTGGCATCCTGGCCTGTACAGGAAACAACCAAGTTGTAAGGGCGTTTATTACGAACGGGCACATCAGGATCACAGGTGCTAGACAGGAGTCACAAACGTTTGTTCCAAATGATGTCTTCTGTTAACCTGAAGCCTTTGGTTTATTTTGTTTGGCAAACCACTCATCACTTTTATCTGCCGCCATCGCCTATAGAAAAAGAATTGGAATATATATTCATTCTAAGTCTGTAAAACAAAATAGCCCACCTTATACCTGATTGTACTGTCCACAAACAAGCAGTGATTATTCTGAGAGTTAAACTGCTTTGACTGATTGGAGCAGGGAGTAAGCATGCCAGCTGTGGGGTCTTGGTAGAACAGAAAGTGCTGCCACTCAGCAACTCAGTAGACTCTGAAGACTCTTAGTGCTCCTGAGACTCAGTCTGATGAGACCAAATATGAAAAGCTATTTGACCCTTAGCTCTTGAGCCTGGAATGATTCCCTTCCACGCCTCCTCCCACCCCACTCCACTGATGTTGATACTGTTTGATTAGTGAGTGTTAGACTCCTTACTTAAAAAGGAACCCTTGTTAATAATAATGTTTTGGTTCCCACAAGAGTCTTATGCTATTATCCCAAAGGGATAATAGTCCACTGGAGAGGGACTTGCAGAGGAACTAGGCTTGGAACCTAAGTATTTAAAAAATTTCTTCACAATACAACTATGCATATGCTAATTAGCTGTGATAAGGATAGCCATTCATTTGTTCAGTCATAAAGCAAGTACACATATACTTTTTTTTTTAAAGGGCATAGTTTCCATTATGAGTTAGGTACTATGCTGAGTGCAGGTGTGCAGTAAAGATGCAGTCTGAGGTTTTGAGAAGTGTGGTAGTTAAGTTTGTGTGTCAACTTGGCTGGGCCTGGTTGAATGGCTGGGCAGCTGGATGTAGTATTGCCCATGATGAGACTGGTAATCAACTCCATGGTGGAATCTACTGTGAGCAGCTGAGTAGCTGCCTTAGGGATGTGGTCTGTTTCCTATATATAAGGAGAAGGCTTGGGGATAGTCTCTAGTTTATGGCATGCTCAAACCCTGCATGTAGCCATGTTGTTCAACAGCCTGCCATATGCTCTGCCGACCGTGGGACTTTCAATGGACTTGAATTCATTGCCTGCCATGTGGTTTGGTAACATCAGGACTGTGCCTTTTTACCTGTCAACCTTGGGCTTGTCAGTCTCAGCAGCCAGCAGCTGCCTGAGTGAAGAAAAGCCTCTAAGCTTCAGCGGGCCGGCAGCAGGAGGCAGAGCTGAAGCCCAAGGTTGAGAGGCTTTTACCCAGCCCCTAGAGCCTGGCACTTTGAACTCAGACTTAAAGCCTCCAAACTGTAAAAGAATAAACTCCTGTTGTTACAGCCATTCCATTTGTGGTATATTCCTGTCAGAGTGGCACTGCATAACCAGAACAAGAAGTAAATATAGAAACTGAGGATTCAGATGTGGAAACCATTATACTGTATATATGTGTACAAATTTGAGCATGTACTATATAATAGAGCCATGAACAAAGTGACATCAGGCTGAAAGGAAAGGAGCAACTAATTAGGGAGGAGAAATAGTGTCACACTAATCTATTTTCAGTGGGAAGTCAACAGTGATGTCTGCAATTGAAAATCAGATCACAGCAATACATGCACATCTTATTTAGAAATAGTGAAGTAAATTCCACAACAATAGATGAAAATGGTTGCTTCTGGGCAGTGGGACTCAGAGATGGAACAAAACAATGTTGTATTTCATTGGTTTAAAATCTTTGTACTATTTATTTTGATGAAAATAAAAAGTATTTAAAAGTTAAAGATATGCTAAAAAGACCACTAAGATACACAACTGTTAGGAGCCATGGAAAGAACTAACCCTGATTTGGAGAATCCAAGACAGCTCCTGAGTTTTGAAAGACAAGTTGAAGAAGAGGGGAGAATATAAACCTTTGGGTGGAGGCAGGAAGTTATAGCTTAGTTAATGTGAACAGGTTAGTGTTTACAGTATAGAATGGGGCATGGGTTAGCAGGAGAGGCAGCACAGAAGGCTGGAAGGAAGGAAAGGAGCAGGCACAGAGAGGGGCTGACCGAAGGGTGGCAGGATGTTTTGCTTGAAATATTATAGTTGATAATGAGCGTCTTTTCTAAAGGAGAGACAAAAGAGATCTCAGAAGGAGAACTCACAGCTCTTGGGGTGCTAATAGCTAACAGAATTTAAGAGGGGGTGAGGAGAAACTGGTTCTGGAAATGTAAATTTATTTTAAAATTTAGAAGTACATTAAATGTTTAAAAAAAAAGAAAAGAGCTGGCTCTGAGGATTCTGGCTCGAACAACTGGGTAACAGATACACTGTTTCAACGATAGAGTCATTCCTCTAAGCATTCAATGAAGTATTCACTAGATGCTTACTACATGCTGTGTAAGTTCATGTAGTAAGTGGATAATTGCACAATCACTTTGAGCGCTGCTAAAAGGTCCAGTAGTTTGATGAGACAAGAAAAGTAGTTGCTGGATTTGGCAAGATGGTCATACTGATGCCTTCAGCAAGAGCCATTTCACTGAGTGCTAGGAGCCACTTTGGAACAGAATGAAATGTAAACGGCAGGTAAGAAGTAGAAACATTGAGTATGTAGACAGGTTTTTTGTTTTGTTTTGAGAAATCTGGCTATATAGGGGAACAGAAAAGAGAAGTGAAGTCAGTCATCAGTTTTTAAAAGCTGGGGAGATACTGGAGCTTGTGTGTGTGCTGTGAGAACAGCTCACTAGGAAGGCGAGAGGCTGATGTGGATGGAGAAGAGATGACCAAGGAGCTGGAATGAGAGGGCGGTGTGCAGGCATTTCCATGCACCGGGAAGATACAAATGCTGAGCGCAGAGAAGGGATCACATAGGTGGTCATGGAGACGTAGCTTCAAAAGAAAAAGCACATGGATCCGACAATAAGAACCTAGAGTCTGTTGCTTTGGCCTTTCCTTGATGTCAATTTGCAAACAAGACTTACCTCATCTAACAGTTTGCTTCCCTCTGGATCCATTTTGGAAAGTTCTCGAAATGCTTCATCTCCCACGAAGCAAATTTCATGTCCATCCTATGCCAATAGAGAGAAGAAATTTGGCAAAAAAGACACCTCAGAAGAACCCGCTGGGGCAGCCTGTACCTCTCCTGAGAAATACTTACAGGGTCGGCCAGAATGACCACTTGTACTGTTGCTTTCCCCGGGGTGTCCAGACTCACCAGGGGAGTCAGAATCTTCTGGTTCTCCCTTTTCATCAAGTCTTCTATGTCTGGCAACTTGAGGAAAACAAAAAAGCAAAGCAAGCGAAGGGGTTAGGCACAGTCCTCATTAGTCCTGAAGGAGTATTGGATCACCCAGAGAGAAACAAGGCACCACTTGTTTGATTTTATTATCTCAGCCACCCTCAGAACAACTGTTGAACTTGAACCAAAGTCACAATCAGAATGAACATGAAGAAAGGAGAGTCATGGCTCTGAGCTGAGTTGAACTAGCTAGTTACAGAACTTAAAAGATCTGGTGCCAAATATTACCTCTTTTTTGGGGCAAGAAAAGGCAATTCTTCCAAAAGCTGCTGCATGATCAACTATACCCTTGATACCCTGTAGCTCCAGCTTACACTGAAAAGAAATGAGAACGTGGGTTTATTTTTAAAATTTATATTGGGGGACAGGTTATTCATGTATGTAGTTAAAAAAAAAAAAAAATGCAAGCAATACCAAAGGAATAAAGCAAGCACTAAATCTCCCTCCTACTCTCACCCCAGAGGCAACCATTTAACAGTGTGTATATCCTTCCAGATACATTCATAGTCTGTCCTGCTCATACATGCACACGCACACACACACACACACACACAGAGCATCATTTACCCATTGTCCTTTGTTTTTCTCCATTTAATATTACCCTATCAGTAATATTACCATAAAGACTTACCTCATTCTTTCTGATAGCAGTATTCTACGAATGAACTATAAATTACTTATTTCTCTAATCTATAGAGCATTTAAGGAGCCCAGGAGCTCTGGTGGCACATTGCCTAAGGCATTTGACTGCTAACCAGAAGGTTGGTGGTTCAAACCCACCAGCCACTCTGAGGAAGGAAGATAGGGGCACTCTACTTCCATCAAGATTTACCGCCTTGGAAACCCAATGGAAGTCTCTATGAGTCAGAGCAGACTCAACGGCAGCAGGTTTGGTTTTCTGGTTTTTGGTGGTATAGTGACTAAGGCATCTGACTGCTAACCAGAAGGTTGGCAGTTCATATCCACCAGGAAGATGGGGCAATCTACTTCTGTAAAGGTTTACTGCCTCAGAAACCCAATGGGGATTGGTATGAGTTGGGATAGACTTGATGGCAGTGAGTTTGTTTTTGGTTTTATAGATCATTTATGTTGTTTCTAATACTTTGCTATTACAAACAATACTATAACAGACAACCTTTGTACACACTTCATTGTGTAGCACATTAAAATAAATTCCTGTAAGTAAACTTGCTGGGTCAAAGTGCAAGGACTAAATAAATTATGCTCAAACACTAGGGTTTTTGGGTTTTTTTTAAAGATGAAAAGACATCACCACTACAGCATTAAATTTTATCTATATCTCTTCTGACTCTGCCAATTCCACTTTTGAAAGGATATAATCCCAAATATAAACAACACTAATATCTGAGTGGTGAGGTTATCAGTAATTTTTATTTTTTTCTTTCTGTTTATCTGTATAAATACTGAATCACTGTGAAGAAACTATGGGAACAACCTTTATATTACCCTTACTTATAAGTCAAATTCCAAACCAAATACCTCACTGCTGTCGAGTCGATTCCAACTCATAGTGACCCTGCAGGAGAACAGAACTGTGCCATAAGATCTCCAAGGCTGTAAATGTTTATGGACGCAGACTGTCCCATCTTTCTCCTAAGGAGTGGCTAGTGGTTAGCAGCTGAGCACTTACCACTGTGCCACCAGGGCTCCTTGTAAAACTCAAAGTACCAGGTTATTTCTCTCAGAGATCACTCACTTGGTTGTCAGCATAGCCCAGCAAAGCCCTTTGCTTCTGTTCATCTTTTTCATAAATTTTCATTCCCAATAGATTAGACCAGTAGTTCAAGGACTTCTGAAGGTCAGACACTGCTAGAGTTACTTTCAATACAGGATCTGTAAGGTAATAAGAGTTAGCTAGAATAGAGAAGATAGTTCAATGGGATACAACAGAAAGCCTGAAATAGACTCAACTGTATGTAAGAATTTAGTTTATGACAAGACCTAAAACTGGTAGGAAAGGGCACATTATTCGATAAATGACACTAGAACAACTGGCTAATCATTTGGTGGGGAATAGTTACATCTATTGATATTCTTGATAGGTTAAACGACTCAATTTAAAGAATTAAATCATGAAAACAATAAAAACAGGTGATTATTTATGTAATTTTGGGACAAAGAAAGATTTTTCATTAAGCCTATTTCCAAAGATAGGACAACTATGACGGAACAGTTTGCCAGGTTAAGTGTACAAAACTGAAAACTCCTAGACAGCAACAACAAAACTTTTATAGCTAAAATTAAAGAGCAAATAACAAAGCAGGAAATTTTTTTTGCAATATATGTAACAAAAAGTGACTGTCCATAATATGCCTTAAATATTAAGAGGATAAAGATGAATATCCTAGAAAAACAGGAAAAAGGCACAAAAGAATCCACAAAAGAAGAAATTGTAAATAGTCAATGAATATAGGAAACAAAAATTAAACTCACAAATAACTGAAGATTAGAACTGAACTGAAATATTTTGTTATCTAGTTGGCAAATAATTTTAAAAGTTAACACAGTGTTAATTATAGTGTAGGGAGAAAATCACAATTACATATAATTCACACTCTCCTGTAGTAGTGAGTAAATTAGTACATTTCTTGGTAACAATTTGACAGAATGTATCAAAACCCTTAAAAATGAACATCATAAGCTAAATTAAATCAATCACAAAAGGACAAATATTATATGACCTCACTTATGGGTGGCGTAGTGCCTAAGGCATTTGACTGCTAACCAGAAGGCTGGCAGTTCAAACCGAACAGCCACTCCTCGAAAGGAAGACTGGGCAATCTACTTTGGTACAGAGATACTGCCTTGGAAACCCAAGGAGGGGTCACTAGGAGTCAGGATCGATTCGATGGCAGTGAGTTTTTTTTTTTTTTTTTTTTTAATTTTTTATATAAAAAGACAAGAAAAGGCAAATGTATAAAGAACAAAACTTATTAGTAGTTACCAGGGGTGGGTGGGTAGGGAAAAAGGGGAGTTAATGGATCATGGCTTCATGGGACTCTGTTCTGGTTACCTAGTGTCAGTCTGACAGGAAACATAACACAAATAGGATGGCCTTAACAAACAGGAGTTTATTCTTACAATTTGGAGGCTTTAAGTTCAAGTTCAAAGTGCCCAGCTCTAGGGGTTGGGTGAAAGCCCCTCAACCTTGGGGTCCAGCTCTGCCTCCTGCTCTCCACGCACTGGAGCTAGAGGCGTTTCTTCACTCAGACAGGTGCTGGCTGCTGAGGCTGGAAGCCCCAAGGTTGACAAGTAAAAAGGCACAGTCCCGATGTTACCAAACCACACGGAAGGCCATTAACTTAAGTCCTTTGTAAGTCCCAAGGTCGGCAGAGCATAGCAGGCTGCTGAGCAACGACACAGCTACGTGCAGGGTCTAAGAGTACCATAGGTTAGAGAACATTCTCAAGCCTTCTCCTTATATACAGGAAGCAGACCACATTCCCAAAGGCAGCTACTCAGGCAACTACTCAGCTGCTCCCAGTAGATTCCACCATGGAGTTGATTACCATTCTCATCATGGGGAATAACTACCACCAGCTGCCCAGCCACTCAACCAGGCCTAGCCAAGTTGACACACAAACATAACCACCACAGACTCCCAGGGAAAAAAAAACCTAACCCACTGCCACCAACTCGATTCCGACTCTTAGCAGCTCTAGGGGACAGAGTAGAACTGTCCTATAGGGTTTCCAAGGCTGTAATCTTTATGGAGGCAGACTGCCACATCTTTCTCCTGCTTCCATGGGACAAGACATCCAGTTATTTGGCCTAATAACATGTTTAGTTCTTCTGTTCTACCTCCTATTAGTTGCATAGTGCCTGGGGTCATAAATGCTTGCAAGCTGCCATCCAAGGCACGACAACTGATCTCTATTCGACTAGAGCAACAGAGGAAGGAAAGTCAGGACTAAAAGGAGATATGGAATGTGAGGCTAACTGCCTCAGTGAACAACTGCCTCCTCTGCCAGGAGATAAGAACTGGATGGTGCCTGGCTACCATTACGGAACATTATAATCAAAGATTCCACAGAAGAATCCTGATCCAAAGGGGAAAAATGTAGAACAGAATTTCAAATTCTTATGGAATACAGATTTTCTGGATCCATGAAGGTTGGATGAACCCCTGAAACTATTGCCCCAAGATAATCTTTAAACCTTAAACTACAAATATCCCCTGAAATCTTCTTAAACCCAAATAGTTTGGCTGAACTAGTAAAAAATATCTGCCTTGAGCATTATGCTCTTTGAAGAACTATCTACATGGGATCAAAGTGACAAAGTAACTGGTAAGATTAGATAGGAACCCCAGGGGCAGTTAATTCATGGGGGAGAAATAACTCAGAAAAGTAGGGTGAGAATGGTTGCACAACTTGATAAACGTAATCAATGTCACTAAATGGTATGTGTAGAAATTGTTGAATCGGTGTATGTTTTGAGTTTGTTTTTTTTCTTTCTCAACAACAGCAAAATGAAGTTTTTTAAAAAATGAACATTGCTCTTGAAAGAGCAGTTAAAGAAATAATTTCGGACACATGAAGGGCTTTTATCACAGAGACATTCATCACAGCATTGTCTGTAACAACGTAACACTGGAAAAGCACACATAGGCAACACCAGAGGACAGTGAATGCTCTCACACAAGAGAATACAATGGAATCTCTGCACTAGAATAAGGAGGCATTTATACCTTTATCACTTTTGAAAAAAATAGGAAAAGGTAGGTAATGTTAACAGTGGTTGGCTCTGGATATATGAGGGCTGTTTTTATTTTATTTTATTTTTTTATTGTTATTTGGGTGAAAATTTACAGAGCAAATTCACTTTCCATACAGCAGTTCACATACACTTTGTCTCATGACACTGACTACAATTTACCGCAATGCAACATCTTCCTTCCTATTTCCTCCCTGATAGTTACCTATGAGGGCTGTTTTGTTTGTTTTGCTTATTTGGAAAAAACCATTGTTTTGTAAAAATAAAGTTATATTAAAAACATTTAACAGTCTTGGAAACTTTTTATATCGTAAGGGGACTTTCTGAAGACCTGTTTCAAGGTTACGTCTGACAATTTGACAAACTCAATGTATCTGTTCTTTAAGTTTTCACTGCCTTGGTTGTTTGCTGGTACGGCAGTCCTGTGACTGAGGCGAGGTGTTCCTCATGCGTGCCTCTCCCTGGCAGACTCAATTTTAGTTTTCTCCATTTATTTCAAAATCAAAATTCCAGCTGACTTGGGAACCTGAAGAGGAACAGGGGCAGGAATGGTTACAAGTGGATAAAACTATACTGGAGTAAGTGATTCAAAGGAAGGATAGATGCCAGTTAGACTGACAGACTTGATTATATCATTGTTCAGAGAAGACTGCCCAAAAGGAACTGTGAGCCAAAGGAAAAAATTCTTAAAATA